TCATACCTTATATGTAGTTTCTTGATTGTCTGGTCATCCCCTGCTATGTATGTTCATGCCGTCATATTTTATTGCTGGTTGTCCATGATCCAGGTCTACCATTTATATTGATCTCGTCAGCCCTAAAAGATAATAATGAAGGTTAGATGAAATGTACGTTGGTGCTCGGCAAGTATGGTCGGGTGCTAGTCATGGCCCTCCAGTTTGGGTCGTGACATGGATAGATGTTAAAAGCCACTTGGGTAAGAAGATAACATCGGAAGGCCCCCATTTATAGGGGAGATAGTATGGCCAGCAATGCCATCAATACCTTTGAAAGATGGATCAGCGGCGCAATCAATGCGTTATTGAAAGCCGAATCGACGGCGGTACTGTCGCTTTGAAGAATGGGAATAGACAGTGCATTGCATGACGCCGAAAAGACAAGTCCATGAGACGTCTCGGCTATCGCGAAGGCTTACGTCACGTGTTGACGTTGTCGGTATGACGCCATCATAGGAAGCCTGAAGAATCGGATGTCAAGGTCGTTTCTTATCGCTCCTCTCCAAGAAACGCGGGGACTATCTGTATACGGCGAAATCAGAGGATCTCATTTCTCGTCATTAAGGCATTTCAGAAGATTATCTCGAAACCTCGAGGCTACAAGGTTGTGGCCGAGTTTCCTCCCTCAAGGTTCGTCGATGCCCAACCTAGGGATAACGTTGGCCGCGACCACAAAAGATATGGGGAGTTCCCAAGGAGTGCAGCCAGGGCCGATAAAATCTGTCAGGCTAGTCTGAGGCTAGTCTGAACTTGCACCATGACATTAGCTAGTGTCACATCCCTACTTCTTTGTCATTAATGTATTTTGTACTATGTTGGGATTCCCCTCCTATATAAAGGGGATCCTTGTCATTTTGTAAGCCCATGTTGCTTCAGTTGCTCCAGACGATATATGTAAGAACATTATATTTACTCTCTAACATACTCTCTTGATATTATCGCTTTCATTTATTATCTTCATATTTGTTCATCATTTATTGCTTATCATTGGCCATAAAGAACCTCCGTTAATTCTATTATAACTGTTAGCCGTATTCCGACCCCTCTCGATAGCTCCCTGCCGAGCTCCGGAATCGACCTCGAGGCCCCGAATCAGCAAGCTCGAGGCCCCGATAATTGTCCCAATGGTTTGATTATCGCACTATCCTTAACTCTTATTTCGTTTTTAAGTCTCACATACATAGCAACGACTGTTTAACAACTAGCATAAAAATAGATCACGTATTTTAGAGTCTCATAAATAAATTTAATTGTTATTACCATTTTCACAGTAAACAATCTTTAAAAAAAAAATAGACACATGAAGTCTACTCATTTCATGCTAAGCTCTATTAGTGATAAGTGCAAATAAAAGACGATTTACTAATGATAAAAGTATGAATGGATAGAAAGCGCGATGTTAAGTAAAATTGAACAATTCGGATAGTACAAGAGCAATGTTGGACAGTTTCCTTATCATATTTAGTTCAAATACTTATTTTCTGTTTTATTATAATCTTTCTATCTTTCTTTTTGAATCTCATTAGGTCTTAGGTGAATGTTTTTTCATAACTCTCCATTTGACCTAATTCTTAATTCCCTTGTCTAGGAAAGCATCAATGTGCCGTAGGGAATGCCATCAGATTGAGCAACTTCACATGTGAAATAACATGGTCTCTAAGTATATATCTCAATGGACAAATTCAAAAAACAAATTCTTACACCCTTCACATGTCATTCACAAGTTAACTAACATCATATGCAAAACTATCTTCAGATGGGTCCAGTTTCCATAGCACTTACCCTAACTTCTTGAAGCTTTTCATTTCAACTTTTCTTGCTTTTGTAGAAAGGTTTCCCTTTAATTTTGCCTTTCAAAGCAATGCTCATATATGTAATTCCACTTTGTTTAGCACTATTTTTTATTTGTCCAGTCCAAAAGGAATGATATATTTTTATACCTTTTAATGAGAAGTTTTATAATAATGCAAATATTATGGCAGGTTTAAGATCACAAGTTTTAAAAGTTTTATAGTAACAATAACATTATGACATGTTTAAGACACAAGTTTTAAAAGCCTTATTTTCTTTCTTAAACGTCGAGTACAAAAGAAGGTGCTTCGAAGTTTAAGGCTCATCCATTCACCGTATGTCTATAATTTCATACATAAAGAGGAAGATTAAAACTCATCAATCTCCTTACCGTGCTCCGTCAGGGTCTTGATTCACGCTTCTCTTACTTTCCCTCCTTCTAGAAAAAAATGTTGAACAACAACGATCTTTCTAAAGTTAAGATAGCAGATCGGTCGACTGCGGGACGGGACCGGGAGCAGCAGTAGGAGAAGAGATAATCCCTTCAATCTACTCCCCTCGATCAAGTTAGAAATATCTTAAGAGAGGAAGAGAAATCATTTGGATTAGAGGCGAAACCCTTTTCCGCTATTACAGAGTTCTTCTGCTTTAATATCTGAAATCGAAGGCCGAGTCAAACTATGACAAACAAATTGGAACAGAGAGTTTTGTAGTTTGAGAATTTGTAATACATATCTTAACCTGCTCGGCAAAACTGTAATTCCTAATTAGTTTTTTTGCAGGCAAATTAAAGGAGCTTAATTAACTTCTATAAACTGATAATGTACAGCTATTAGAACATCTAATAACTAAAAGTGATTGTTTATAATAAGTATGAAATTAACAACCTGAAAAATGGGGCAACTAACCTGCTACGATATTATTTTTAAAAAAAAATATTGTCAATATATATAATTTAAATCTAATAAATATAGAGCTGGTACTGGTAGATGGACCACTTAATTGTTATTGGTCCCTTCGTCTTTTCTGGTATAGGATGGAAACCTCTGCCTAACCATATGAACGCCTGGAGACTGATCACATGACCATAATATGGGGTCCCTTATTAAAGCTAGTTAATTATTTCTAAATTAGGTATCATTTACAAAGTAATTAAGCATACATACAAATGATGAGAGACATGACCTAATTGTGTGCTGATCAACTGTTAATTTAATTTGTCGAGAGTTTTGTATCATGAAAATCCGTTAGTTTACCTTAAATAAACCTTTGATGTGAAATTTGAGATCAAAATATCTCACGAAAAGTGCGAACTTAACTATGTTAAAGAAGTAATTATCCAATAAAGGAGAAGCCAGCCCATTTTATATACTGAAATAACGTTTTCTTTTGCATAACGAAATAAACAGAGATACCATTAGGCAGAGATGCTGATATTGGCGTCTAGATTTTGTACAGGACTGTTTGTTGTATGTCAGTATATTTACTAAGGCATATTCCTCTTCGCGGTAACTTTAGCTTTCCTTTCTCTATCAAAGGGAACCTTAATGAATGGAAGGCTTGAGTCCACGCTCGGCCATTTAGGTGCTCTTTCCAAAGATATGGAGCATTTCTTCCTTTGCCCTTTAATGGTCCATTGTACATTCACATCCATTTCTAAGGTAACAGTCTCATTTTAGTTCCTAACTTCTTGTACTAGTAACAACCCTAGTGCTTCTTCCTCTGGGACCACATCCACAAAAACCGGATTTAGAATTCAACTTATGGAGTCGAGTTCGAAATTCTATCTAACCCATTTGATTTACAAAGTTCGAAATCTTTTACTTTTATTTATTTTGGTAGATTTTTAAACATATATACAGGATTTGAACTAAAGACACTGGCTAACTTCTAGCTTACGTCCACCCCTGCCTGCACAGGAGCCAGGAATGCTAAGAGTGGCATACATTCAAACCTGCACGCTGAAGCACTTTTTTTGAGCCACAATAGCGTCCACACGGAGAATTCAACAATTTACATATGAAATTTTTTATGTTTACTTTATCTGCAGTATAGTTTTCAAATATATCATTTGTACTCTTCAAATATGCTGTTAACTCCATGTTGGGTCCTCCAAAAAGCATTACTTATCCGGCATGCAACTGATGGCATATTTGAATTGTCCGAGAAGAATAAGTTTTCAACAAAGGGGATTCAATTGAACTCCTTTTCTACCTGCACCGTCCAAAGTTTATCAAAACCCTAATAGGTATCGAATGTTTAGGGCACATGGACATGTGATATTTTGCCATCAGCATATGATGCCAGTCTAAGAAATGACAGTTACAAGGCTTACGTACACACCAATAGTACAAAACCCCACTTCCATTAGCCATGGGGGACATTGCTGCTATATATGTTTTAGCTTCCTGTCCCAAATTAGCTCCCTATTGAGTACTATAGTGGTAATGGACCAATGGACATGCATGTGATATATTCACAGATATTATTGATCAGTGATGGAAAAGTGACGCCATTAGCTGTGATCTTTGATGTTGAGATTTTGAATGCAAAGATGAAGGGTTGGGGGAAAAGTCATCTTAGTACAATCTTCATGATTATAACAAGTAACAAAAAGGGCCCTCTTCCCCTTTTCCCATGTTTGAAACAGTTATTAGAACCAATTGTTAGATGGAATATGCTATTTTCATGTGGATGAGACCATCGATAATTTTACCCTAAAAAGTGTGGTGGGTATTAGATAGAATCCCTTCGGTCCTTAATTTCGAGTTTTGGAAATAAACAAATTCCTAATAGGAAGTAATTTCCCTTCAATAAACCCTATGCAGTGCGAGTCTGAATTACTCGGACCAATGATGTCGAATATTGGATGCATTAAGAAAAAACCTATGATAATATCAAACCCCCACCCCCACCCCCAAAAAAAGAAGAAAAACCACCACATTCATGCATTGCAGTTATGGTAGTTGGTTCGTGATGACAGAAATATGAAATACTATAATAATATTGTTGCTTGGTCAGTGTCCTCACATGGTTGCAACTCATACAATAGAAGTTGTAATAAAAAGTTATAGACGTGTTCCAATTAACAATAGAGTAAATTGGATCGCATGTCCAATAACCATAATAACTACCGGTTACATAATCAAGTTAAAAAACTAAAAATGAGAAAAACATAATATTAATATAGTAGCAACAATAGGCGAGGTCTCGATAAATAATAGTAATAGGAGAGTAATGTAGTAGCATTTAGGAAATAGCCACCCAAAATGGCTCCCAGCTTGGAATCCCTTTATTCCTACTCTCACTTGCTTTGCACCTACTTGCTCTTGCATACTCTCCTATCCCAATATCATGACTTCCTAATTTTCTACTACAAATTTCATGATTTTCTTCACCACTATTTTCATCATCATCTTCTTCTTCTCCAATGCTACATTCTTCATGTCTTAACAAGGAGAGCCTAAGCCTACCATGGGCACGTTCAGCTTGCAAATAAGAATAGATTTTCACTGCTTTTAATACTAAACGACCACCTTCCCGATGAGGTCTAACTTGAACACCTTCATTCCCACTCATTGATGTTAGAGGAGGTGGAAAACTACTTGTCCTGTTGAATTGTTTCGTGAATTCTCGACTTTTTGATCGTGGAAAATTCGTGGACATGAAATTAGGAGAGAATTCTTCCATGCTTTCACTAATGTCACTGCCCGTTTCGCTCCCTAAGCTTTCAGTGCACATTTCCAAACTCTTTGTATTGAGAGAAGAGGACTTCACCATAGGATGAACATAAACTTCTTCATCGCCTTTTTTCGGGTGTTCACATGGATTTTCCAGTTCGTGTATGAAGCTCCAGCCACGAGACACGTCACTATTTTCATGTTGATTTTGCAACTCATTGAAACTAAGCCCATTTTCTTCTTCAGTTTCTGCTTCTTGTGGAGATATTTTAGACATTTGAAGCAATGTGGTAGATTGTGGGAAATTCGATATAGGAGGAGGCAATTTGTTCATTAGGACACGTGGTTCAACAAGTGTAGGCTCTAGACAAGATTGAAGACCTTGATATAGAGTGGAAGTTGAGGTCATGTTGTTTTACAACAATATGCAAAAATAAAAGAACAGGGGAAAACAGAGGATTTGGTCTACTTTTAACTAGAAACTAGAAATGTGAAATTTTTTGAGTGTTGAGAAATTCATATGCTTAAATGAGGATAAAAAATTTTCTAAGTCATTGAGCCATGTTTGGTTTCTAAAATGTACCTAGGTGATAAAGCTTATGAGGGTGGCAAATTGAAGGTAAAAATGAAATAATAAAAAAAAACAAGGATGGAGAAAGGGAAGGTAGAGAATGGATAGAACATGAAAGAGAAGTGAAAGGGGCAAGGTTGAATTTNCTTTCACTCTGCCACACAATAAATTGAGAAAAGGAACAAAGAAAAGTGGGAAGCTAGAAATAATTTGAAGTTGGACAAAAGCTCATTGGTCCTTTTTGTTTGTGTATTATTTTCGGGGTATTTGCATCTATACCCACTTTTGTGTAACATTTTAATTTGTGCCCGCTTTGCAAAAAAAATTGCAAGTGTACCCGCTTCTTCGCATAACTTTAGCACACGGGGCTGAAGTAGCAAAGGCAATCACGCAAAACTTCAGCATTCTAGTAGTCGGGCCTGAAGTTCAGCTCTAGAGCTGAAGTTTTTGTTTTGTGACTAGCGAACTTCAGCTCTAGAGCTGAAGTTTCTGTGTTGTGACTGGGAAACTTCAGCTCTAGAGCTGAAGCTTGGATAAAATTAACTCTTATATGAAGTCGTTGGATTTGCTCCTCTCCATTGATCCAATTGATGAAGCGTTCACCAGCTATTAGCATTCAACCCTTTCTTTCAATTATTGTATTGACAATGCAATTAACTATTTGTAAATCAAGTGCATTATTTCTCTGTTTCGTTGTTTTCACGTCAACGACTAAACAATATTAACCAGAAAATAAGCGCTATGTTTTACACAGAAATTGTATAATGATCGTGTTGGCTACTCAATCCTTTTCCACAATACTCTGTACTTTGATTTTGTTTAGATAACTTTACTGAAGTTTTATAGAGTAATATGGTATCTGATCAGAGAGAACTTCTTGTTGGCATCTAGCTGTGATGAGATGGAGTTCCTTTCTTTCAATTTGCTTGTTTGCATATTTCAGCTATTTATTTGAGAAGAAGAAAACGAAGGAGCAGAACGAGGAGAAAAGGGGCTGAAGTTATTTAAGAATTGGGTATAAGTTAAAAGTTTAAAAAAAAATGGGTATAGGTTAAATGGGGGCGACCAAATAGGGCGCCCTGTGCAATTTTTACATTATTTTCTCTCTTTCACTTTTTTTATTTTTTTTGTATTTTGCAATTTTAGGTAGAAGACATTGATTTTGGCTGGTTACAACAGCTAAAATTTGATTGGTGAGTTTAAGTATTACTTTTAAAGAGAATGAATTAAATAACGTGTGGACTTTGGAGGGTCATTTTCTTTTGCCATCCAAAGTGAACCAACAAAAGGGATTCGTTCTGATATTTTTTGATAGATATTGCTTTATTCACCCCCTTCTCACTTGCGCTTTTCAACTTCCACTTAACCAATTCTTTTCTTTAACTTTGACTAGGGTTGAAAACCTAAAATTTGTCGTACATCATTTGAGCAAAGAACAAAAAACTCGAATTGAGTTGAAATTATAATAATCTAGTGGTTGTTTTATCCTACACTGCATGGATGCAGGCTTTTAACGGGGAAGTCGTATTTATACCCGTTTTTTGGGTCACGTTTTAACTTATATTTGTTTTGCAAAAAAAATTGCAAGCGTACCCACTTTCCGCGTAAACTTCAGGCATCAGACCTGAAGTAGCAAAGGCAATCACGCAAACTTCAGCATTCTAGTAGACGGGCCTGAAGTTATTTATAATTGCTGAACTTAAGCATTTTATTAGCTGAAGTTTTGTTCTCTATTTGCTGAACTTCAGCATGTTTTAGCTGAAGTTTTGTCGTGGATTCAATAGTTTTGTCGTAAAGCTTTTTCAAAAATTTCATCAGAAGATGCTGAAGTTATTTAGTTCATTTGTAAAAACTTCAGCACTAAATAAGCTGAAGTTTTGTCCTAGATTCATTAGTTTTGTCATAAAAGTTTTTCAAAAACTTCAGCAGAAGATGCTGAAGTTATTTAGTTCATTTGTAAAAACTTCAGCATTAAATAAGCTGAAGTTTTGTCCTCGATTCATTAGTTTTGTCATAAAAGTTTTTCAAAAACTTCAGCAGAAGATGTTGAAGTTATTTAGTTCATTTATAAAAACTTCAGCACTAAAATAAGCTGAAGTTTTGTCCTCGATTCATTAGTTTTGTCATAAAAGTTTTTCAAAAACTTCAGCAGAAGATGTTGAAGTTATTTAGTTCATTTATAAAAACTTCAGCACTAAAATAAGCTGAAGTTTTGTCCTGGATTCATTAATTTTGTCAAAACTTTTTAAAAAACTTCAGCAGAAGATGGGTCTCGTAGAAGGAACTGTGTTGGTGCAGTCCTTTGTTAACCTGAAGAACATAACAACATGGTATCAATGTAGCTCCTTGTCTAATATTTTTATCATCATCTTCTAAAAGCAAAAACATCGATGCATACCCTTATGAACGGAGAAGAATGAAATTGAATAAGAGTTAAACTATTGTGCCTTCTGCATTCATGTGAATCTTAAATTGTTGAATGTTTAAGCAGCAGCATAAACATAACTTTGACAGTAGAACACTTTCCACAATTCTCCACTAACTTCTATCAAATGATTCTGTAGTGAAGATTAGAATAACGAGTAGAAAAGAAAGGAGGAAGAAAGGAGCGCACAGGTAGCAGGAAGAAGGAGGCACCTAAAGTTATAAAAATTAGGGTATATGTTAAATAATCTATATTATATTAAAAGCACGAAGGCCCTTAGAGAAATTTCGTTCGCCTCTTTTACCCTTTAAAAATAAACTTAGCATTGAACATAGTAGTAATTTAATTATTTTTGTAATATTTAGAAATTTGAATTCAAGTAGAATCTTACATATTAAAACCTTCCTTATATAACATACTATATATGGAATATAATATTTAGGACTTTAAAATTAATTAATTTTACCTAATAAAAACCTTTTCAAATTAAAACTATTACAAGAAACCTTAAATCATTAACGTGGTGGTAAACAAAAACACTTTTTTATGAGGTGTATTTTGAGAATATGTTGAGCATTGTGGTAAGTTTACTCATTCGTATAATGTTTATCTATTTTACAAATTAAAATTAGAATCTATAGCTCATTATTCACATTTTAGTATTCTTGTGAAGGATAAAAGGAAATCAAGGTTCAATATATGTGGTTTTTGCTTTAACTTTTTCATTCATATTTTCGTTCAATTGTTTATGTTTATTTTATTAATTAGTTGACGTGTATACATATGTTTGAGTATTATATATATCTCACTACAATTATGATGTTCGTCTAATTCTTTTATGGTATAGGTGTTGTAGGATCAAATTAATATGAAGAAAAGGATTGGATGATGAGAAGAAAGACAACCAAAAAAAAGAAGAAGAAGAAGAAGTATAGTTAGAATCAAGCAACCAAGAGTAATAATAATAATAAGGGATTAAAAGCACGAAGGCCCTTAGCGAAATATCGTTTACCTTTTTTTATCCTTTAAGAATATATTTTATATTGGACAGAATAGTAACTTTAGTTATTTTCCTTATATGCAGGAATAGTCATTAATTATTTTTCTAATATTAGGGACAAACATTTAATTAATAGCCTAATATTTAGGACTTTGATATGAAAAATCATATAATTATCTTTTTGTTGTGAAATTTTTTGTTTAAGAGTCCTTGACGTGCTCTATTTTTTTTTAAAGTTTTAGGTTTAGTGTTGTTTATTTTCTTTTTCTTTTCAATTTTCTTCGTATAAGTTATGTAATTTGATTATACAATGAGCTAGACTAATTTATTCATTTTCTAATCTGTTTAAAATAAATTCATATAGTATTTATTATTAATTAAAAGATTAAATTAGTTGCATTTTATTTTTGTAAAAAAAAATATTATTTTCTATCAATTTGTTAATCCTGTTTGAGTCTTCTAAAATGAACTAGGGAATAACTTTTCAAAATAATTCTTAAGTTTTCAAGGATTATATGTGATTGCTGAAATTGAAAAAGAAGCATGATAACTTATGAATTTAAAATGATTGAATTAAAAAATAAAATAAATTTTTAATTAAATATATTGACTAATGATTGAGAACTTGTACGAAGATTCATCATTTTAGGAAAAATTAACTTTTATTTTATCACTCAAACATAATATTTTAATGTATTATTTATAGAGTATTTTATAGTTCTTTCGTATTGAGATAGTGTACACGCGCAAAGCGCGTATCATAAGACTAATTTTAAAAATATGGGTATAAGTTAAATAGGGCGCCCCGCGCAATTTTTATGCTTTTAATCCATCAAATGGGTAAAAATTACACGGGACGTCCTCTTTGGTCGCCCACATTTAACATATACTCAGTATTTAAAAAAGTTTTAATTTGTACTCACTTTCTAAACAACTTTTCAAAAAATTTATGTATGTTAGACTTCTGATAACATCTCTTATATTCCTTTAAGATTATGTTAACCCACAATCCATAAGGGAGTCTAATGATAGTAATCCTAAGATTTTTTGTCTTTTTTTCCTTAGTTGCTGAAATCTAATTTTGTAAGAGCTCCGAAGAATGCTGAAGTTCAGCAAATATAAAAAAAAACTTCAGCTCCTAAAATGCTGAAGTTCAGCAAATACAAAACAAACTTCAGCTCCTAGAATGCTTCAGCAATTACAAAATAAACTTCAGCTTCAGAAATTACAAAACAAAAACTTCAGCTAAAATATGTTGTAGTTTTATTGAACTGAAGTTTGTCATTGCACTATGAACTGAAGTATGCATGATTGTCATTGCTACTTCAGGCCTGTATGCCTGAAGTTATGCGAAAAGTGAGTACGCTTGTAATTATTTTTTTTGCAAAACGGGTATAAGTTAAAAGGTGACCCAAAAACTGGGTATAGATGCAAATGCCCCATCAAATGGTCTTTCCTTTTTAAAGTTAAGGTGGAAGAATCAACCAATAACCGCCCACCTAATTTTTTTAAACTAAATATCCGGCGGATATATAAAATATATACTCCTATAATTCACATAAGANGCTATTTGTATAATAATCCCTTTAAGTTTCTTATCTTCCAATATTATGGCCCTTCCCAACTACTTTAAAGAGAAAGAAAAAAAAGAGAACCAAAATTGTAATTTGTTCGAGATTTAATTTATATACACTGCTAATAAAGGGAGATTGACACAAAGGGAATTCTATGGGGCTGGTCCCGGAATTAACAACATTGCAAAAATGGCCCCAATATGTACAGAGCGCGTTTAGGGGAAAAATCGAACTAAAATACCCTTAGGTTGAGCAGCAGAAATGGTGGCAAGAGGGGTTGCTCTGATGGTAAGCAACCCCCACTTCCAACCAAGAGGTTGTGAGTTCGAGTCTCTCCAAGAGCAAGGTGGGAAGTTCTTGGAGGGAAGGATGCCGGGGGTCTATTTGGAAACAGTCTCTCTACCCTAGGGTAGGGGTAAGGTCTGCGTACACACTACCCTCTCCAGACCCCACTAAGTGGGATTATACTGGGTTGTTGTTGTTGTTGTTGAGCAGCAGAAATGGTGGCAAGAGCAACCAAAATCGGTGAACGTTGCCATGCATAAGTTATGACAAATTGGCAGGACTTCATATTGCATTAAACCTGGCTATCACATTGCATAACAAACAAACTCTACCAGGTTGTCATAATTTTAAAGCTACGAACAAAGAAGAGGAAAAAAAATACTTTTTTAGAAGGGTGACAGGAAAGTTATGACAAATTGGTAGGACTTCAAATTGTATTCAACCTAGCTATCCTACTGCATTATACACAAACTCTACCATTTTATCATAATTTCAAACCTACAAACAGATAAGGATAGCACGCAGGAACAGACGCACGTTCAACGAAGCGGTGCTGCTCGATACCATTTCGTCAAAAAAATTTATTATATATATGTATTAGTACTGTGAGGAAATAAATAAGTTAAAACAAAATGACACCACTTGACATAGATTGTCTCTTGGCACGTTGGTTATGTGTCTAATTTTGCTCTAAGAGGTCGGCGATTCAAATCTCAACTAGCACATATTTTTGGCAAATACTTGAGAAAGTCTTTGTGGTAATTATGGCGAAGTAAAATTGAACTAAGGACTTTTTCTAACTTAAGTCTCTACAAAATTAATAGATTAAGGCTAGTTCTTTTCTAGAAATATAATACTAGCTATTTATTCTCATTCTTCTATAAGTTTCTACATCGCTAATAAAAATTCTTACATATGCCCTGGTAACAGGCAAGTTATGACAAAATAGTAGTATTTCATACTTTATTCAATCCAGCTATCTTGTTAGATTGTGAAGAAACCCAGTCGATGGAGCAACAGTCAAGCTCTTACTGTTATCTGAAGCTTATGCTTCAATGGAGATGAAGCAGTGGGTCGTCCACCATGAGAGCCCAGAGAGAGAGAAGAGAGAGGATGAGAGAAGGTTCCAGAATGTGTGTAATTTTCTGATCAATTGAATTAGAAAAAGTGAGTGGAAATACTACTATATACAAATCTAAAAACTAGGCACTAACTAAGCTAAGACAATTAACTAATTAAGAGAATTAACTAATTAAGAGAATAATATTATAGTTCTTAACACCTCCCCTCAAGTTGGAGGTGTAGCAAACACGGACAACTTGCCCAATGCATTGTTGTGCTTGATCCATGTCAGAGCTTTAGTCAAAACATCTGCAAGTTGGTCATCAGTTCTGATATGTTGAAGAGAGATCAGACCTGCTTGGAGTTGTTCACGTACAAAGTGACAGTCGACCTCTATATGCTTGGTTCTTTCGTGAAATACTGGATTCCTGGCAATGTGTAATGCAGACTGACTATCACAGTAGACTGAAATAGGTAGAGAAAAGGGGACAGTCAGTTCTTCAAATAACCTGCGTAGCCACACTAATTCACCTACAACTTTTCTCAAGGCTCGATATTCTGCTTCTGTAGAAGACAGTGAGATGGTCTCTTGTTTCTTGGACTTCCAGCTGATGGGGTTGTTACCTAGCAACACCAAATAACCACTGATGGACCTTCTAGAGTCTGGACAAGCAGCCCAGTCAGAGTCACAATAAGCTCTGACTGTGTGATCTCCATCCTTTGACATAAAGATTCCCAAGGTAGGATCATTCTTTAGGTACCTTAGCAAATGAAATGCTGCTCTCAAATGGGGCTCCCTGGGTTTCTGCACAAACTGGCTTAAGTGTTGAACACCATATGCTATATCTAACCTAGTATTGGTCAAGAAATTCAACTTCCCTACTAACTTCCTATAATAGGTAGGATCCTGCAATTCTGCTCCTTCCTTGGCCTTTAGTTTCACATTTGGATCCAATGGTGAAGAGCAGGTCTTGTGTTCTAGGCAATCATACTCCTTTAGCAGGTTCAATGCAAACTTCCTTTGTGATATAATGACCCCATCTTCCTTGTACAGAACCTCTAATCCCAGGAAATAGTGAAGCTGTCCGAGATCCTTGATCCTGAATTGCTCATGTAGGAATCTCTTAAGTTGAGTAATTTCTTGTTCATCAGTCCCAGTTAACAGCACATCATCCACATACACAGCAATATACACTGAGTCACTTCCATTTCTCTTGTAAAAGAGTGAGTAGTCATACATGGAGTGTGTGTATCCTCTTGAATAAAGTGCCTCAGTTAACTTTGCATACCATTGTCTGCTTGCCTGCTTTAACCCATAAAGAGATTTATTCAGTTTGCATACCAGGCCTGGCTTGTCTAACACTAGCCCAGGTGGCACCTGCATATATACCTCTTCATTGAGATCTCCATGCAAGAAGGCATTGTTTACATCTAACTGTGAGATGAGCCAACCTTTCTTGACTGCTGTAGCTATTAAAGATCTGACTGTTGTCATCTTTACAACTGGGGAAAAAGTTTCTGTATAATCTATTCCTGCCTGTTGAGTGTACCCTTTAACAACTAATCTGGCCTTGAATCTCTCAATGCTACCATCTGCTTTGTGTTTCACTTTGTACACCCATCTACATCCAATTGCTTGCTTCCCAGGTGGTAGCACTACTAAGTCCCATGTATGGTTTGAATGTAATGCATCAAATTCATGTGTCATAGCAGCTTGCCATGCAGGATCAATAGCTGCCTCATCATATGATGATGGTTCCCTGTCATGACAAACATTTCTCACAAGAGCCTGACTATCAGGAGTTAGTAGATCAGAGGCAATGTGTTGATTTTCAGAAAATAAAGCATTTAGGGAAGTGAAATTATTCTTGAATTTAGGTAAGGAGTGGACATAGTCCTGTAGATATGTAGGAAGTTTATGAGTTCTGTGTGACTGCCTAGTTGGATGGATTTGTTCTGTATCTGTTTGTGCCATGTTGTGTTCTGATGGTGTGTTGTGTAGTGAGGAGCTAGATGTGTGTTCCTGATGATGTGTGGATATTCCATGAGATAAGGGATCAGCTGCATGTATAGGTGACATAGAGATAGGTGTGTTATCCTCATTTCCTTGGTCACTCAAGTTTTCAGTGGTCTGCATGTTTCCTGTGTTTTTAGGAAGATGTTCATCAAGAGAGTCAATGAAAGGAACAGGATAAAAGACAAGTGAGTTGGAAGACTTGTTTATGCTACAGTTAAAAGGAAAGATAGATTCATTAAACACCACATCTCTGGAAATGTAAATCTTTCTAGTGGCCAGGTTCAGAACTTTGTACCCCTTTGTGTTGAAAGGATACCCAACAAAGACATGAGGGGCAGTCCTGGGATTGAACTTGTCCCTATGTGGTATTGGTATGGTGGGATAGCACAAGCATCCAAAACTCTTGAGATGAGAGTATTTTGGTTTCTTCTTATACAACAGCTCATATGGGGTTTTATTGTTGATGGAATTGGATGGCAATCTGTTTATTATATATGTAGCACAGAGGACACACTCACCCCAATATCTCAGAGGTAATTTAGATTGGAAAAGGAGGGCTCTAGCTGTTTCAAGAAGGTATTTATGTTTTCTTTCTACCACACCATTTTGTTGTGGTGTATATGGACAAGTTCTTTGATGAATGATTCCTTTGGACTGAAACAATTTGGTTGCTTCTCCACTGGTAAACTCTAGTCCATTGTCTGACCTTATGGACTTGATGTTGATACTAAACTGGTTTTCCACCAAGGACATGAAGTTTTTAAGAATATCAATAACATTACTCTTGCTAGACAAAAGATGTGTCCATGTAGATCTGCTATAGTCATCCACTATGGTGACAAAGTACTTGTGTTTATCATGTGTAGGGATATGATATGGACCCCATAGGTCAACATGCAAAAGCTCAAATATTTTGTTAGATACATTGGTTTTCTAAGGAAAAGGTAATCTTTCTTGTCTAGCCATTGGGCAAATGGTACAGGTAAAGGGTTGTTTAGGAGAGAAATTAGCAGGAATGGAAGTAATCCTTTTCATCTTCACAAAGGGAACATGTCCAAGCCTGTTATGCCACAACACATTTACATTATTTTCAGTCCAAGATTGAGGGAAGAAATCAGGCAATTTAGAAAATACATCCTCAAAATGAACATGTTTACTAGCACTTGCACATGAATTATTTACAATGAGAGAGGGAAAAGAGACACACTTATTGGTGTGGACTGGTACATTTACAGTGGAATGAGTTGGACAATGTGTGTCACAAGTGCAACAAGTAGAAATGACAGGAAGTCTAGAATTATCCTTTTCTGCAAGACTTGCATTGTTTTTCTTTAAGCAACTTGGGCATAGGATGTATAGCCCATCATTCACTTTACCAATCACCAGAGGCCTCTTCATTGAAGGGGCCTGCAACACACAACAGAGATTGAAGAAGGCAACAATACAGCTTAAATGAGAAGTTAAAGAGTGGACAGAAATTAGATTGTATCTGAAAGTTGGAACATACATCACTTTATCTAGAGTGATCTTAGAATTGAGAATTACACTGCCTATTTCTGTCACCTTTACTTTATAGCCATTTGGAAGTATGACCAATAAGGGATAAGGTAGGTTGATTATATTGGTTAATAGGGATCTGTTGAAGGTCATGTTATTTGATGCCCCTGAATCTATAATCCATGAGTCAGCTTTGTTCTTGAAACATTCACATGAAAGTTTGCCAAAATCAATTGAGGAGGTACAAGCTACCATACCTGCAAAGTTTGCTGTTCCTGAAGTAGCATTGGTACCACCTCCATGATCTCCTATCCCAGATGACTGAAATTGTTGTAGCAGGGTCACCAACTGATTGTACTCTTCCTTGGTAAGGCTCACATTCTGAGGATTGTCATGACTAACATATCTATTCTGACTATCATTCTCTGCAGGTTGAGAATCAGTGGCTGCCACATGTGCATTGGCTAGGGTCCTGTTGAATTTGTTGCCTCTGTTGAATCTGTTGGCACCATTGCTGTTGGAACCTTGCCTTGTGTTTTGACTGAAACTGTTCTGTCCTGTGTTTGGATTTTGATAGTGACTAGAATTCTGTCCAAAATTCTGTGGATATCCATGAAGCTTGTAGCATTTCTCTTTAGTGTGGCCTGGCCTCTTGCAGTAGTCACAAAAACGTCTATTTCTGTTGTTGTGATTGTTGCTAGGAGAGTAACTTGTCCTGTATGTGTTAGGTCTGGTTGCTTTGGCATTCAAAGCTGATGATTCCAGTACCAGATGGCCAGTGGGCTTGATTTCCCTCTGTCTTTCTTCTTGGATTAACAGAGAAAAGGCTTGAGCAATTGAGGGAAGAGGATTCATCATCAATATGCTCCCTCGAACAACAGTATATGTCTCATTTAATCCCATAAGGAATTGTATGAGCCTCCTATCCTGCTCTGCTTTATGCATACTTTCCTTAGCCCCACACGAACAGTTGCAGGCACAATGAGATTTAGTAATCAAAGTATTGAGCTCCTCCCATAATTTCTTCATTTTCGTATAGTAACTGGTAATATCAAGTGATCCTTGAGACAGATCATTGATCTCCTTCTGAATTTGATACAACTTTGTTCCATTTGTTTGATCATATCGATCCTCAAGTTCTCTCCACAATTCAAATGCATTAGCTACGTATTCAACACTGTCTGCAATCTCTTTAGTCAAAGAGTTTAAGATCCATGATGTGACCATGTCATCACACCTCTCCCATAAGCGAAAGTTTGGAGAATCTAGATCTGGTCTTTTACAGTCTCCGTTAATAAATCCCAATTTATTCTTCACAGACAATGCTCGCATCACACTTCTTCTCCATGATCGATAACCAAAGCCATCAAAAGGAGNTTAGAATTGAGAATTACACTGCCTATTCCTGTCACCTTTACTTTATAGTCATTTGGAAGTATGACCAATAAGGGATAAGGTAGGTTGATTATATTGGTTAATAGGGATCTGTTGAAGGTCATGTTATTTGATGCCCCTGAATCTATAATCCATGAGTCAGCTTTGTTCTTGAAACATTCACATGAAAGTTTGCCAAAATCAATTGAGGAGGTACAAGCTACCATACCNGTTCTCAAGCTATATCTCGAAATTCATGGAGAAATGAATTTGTGTATGCGCGATTAGGTTTAGACGATCATCAACAAAGGAAGAACCAACAGATCTCGTGAATTGAATCAAAAATCGAAGCTCCCGCTCTGATACCATGTGAAGAAACCCAGTCGATGGAGCAACAGTCAAGCTCTTACTGTTATCTGAAGCTTATGCTTCAATGGAGATGAAGCAGTGGGTCGTCCACCATGAGAGCCCAGAGAGAGAGAAGAGAGAGGATGAGAGAAGGTTCCAGAATGTGTGTAATTTTCTGATCAATTGAATTAGAAAAAGTGAGTGGAAACACCACTATATACAAATCTAAAAACTAGGCACTAACTAAGCTAAGACAATTAACTAATTAAGAGAATTAACTAATTAAGAGAATAATATTATAGTTCTTAACAATATTTGTCCTTGACCACTATGTTTGTCAATTTTAGAAAATTAAGAGAAAACCAAATTATTTTTCTTGATTTACTCTTATTATTAACTACTCATTCTCCAAATTACTTATCAAGATTTCTTAAAATGTTATTACTATCATGGGAGTTATGATAAAATAGGGAGTGACGAGTCTAGTATGGACAAATAAAAGTGAACTAATCTTTAAATCAGTCAATTTTTTAGCATATGAGGTGAAAAGTGGTACAATTCCGTGAAAAAGGTGACAATTGGTCCTTACGTTATATGCCGACATGGAAGTCTATTTTTCCAGGTCCAGGAAGCCACAGCTGAAGTGAAAGGAAAAAGAAAGATAAAGAAAGTTTATTGCATCAATCACTGAGATAAAAGTCTGCAGAAAATTGGAAGCTAATCAGTTGTACCGAAATGATCGAAATAGCAAACGACGCAAATGTCTTAATCTTCCTAATTTCATGCAATTTAACAGGTTGGATTTGTGGCACTCTCTGATTAGTGGACTCGCAAACATATTTTGGATCCTTATCTTCCCAATCAAATACTGCAACATCATAGTACACCTTTTGGGACTAGTCCGCATCTTTTTTTCTTATTTCATCCCTTTTGAAACTCACTAACAAGATTAATTTGAATACACTTAGGGGTTGTTTGGTAGGGTGCATAACAATAATGCTGAATAGGGTGTATTAGTAATGCTAGTATTAGTTATGCTTGCATTAGTTATGTTGGTATTAGTTATGCTGACATATTTTTTATTCATTGTTTGGTTTGATGTATTAAAGTATTACAGAGTTTCTAAAATAATTATTTGTTTACAAAAATACCCTCAAAACTAGTCCACACTCTAACTTTTTAAAAGAAACATATGTTGAGAAATATTTTTATACGAAAAAGTTTTAAAAAAAATATTTTATTTGTCTACCTATATTGTAAAATAAAATTAAATATTTATTTATAAAAAGAAAAATATGTTAAGTATTTATTTATTTACTAGGGATATAATTTTATTTCTCACTATTTGGATTATTTTGAACTTGCATTAATATACTAACTAGCATATTTTAATCAAGCATAAATTTTGAAGGACAATTTTATCTTTAACTAAGCTAATGCATGCATTAAAACCCATTGCATTGCTAATACCATTATTTTCTATGCATTAGTTATGCATAGGATAATACCAAATAGGATGTATAACTAATGCTTGCATAACTAATGCATAGGTTCAAAATGTCTACCAAACAATGTATTATTAATACATAAAGCTAATGCATGCATTAGCTTATCCAATGCATTCTACCAAACGACCCCTTAATATGTGGTTCACTAAATAATAATATATCATTAATAGTGGTGCTATTAATCACTACTTTGGTATGAGTACTTTAATCGATATCTTTTTCAGGACTTGTGCATGAGAGATCCGTGGGAGCAGAGGCGGACTTATGTTGGGAAGAGGGAGGTCACCGAAACCCGTTAGCCTCAGCAAAAAAAATTGGGGGAAGTGCACGTTTAGCCACTAATAACACATGTATTTACTTTTAAGCCATTGTTTAAAATATCTTTAGTCTTTAGCCACTGCTTTAATAAACTTTAACTGCCCAGACGAAAATACTCTTCTGCTCATGTCCTTAATTTTTGAACTTAACTTCAGGACTTCAAGACTATATGTCCTTAACTTTTGAACTTGGAACTCTAAGTTAGGACTTCAGGACTACATGTCCTTAACTTTTGAACTTAACTTCAGGACTACATGTCCTTAACNTTATTGTCCTTAATAGTCTAAGTTCAGGACAAGTGTCCTTAACTTTTGAACTTGTAATTCTAAGTTCAGGACCAAGTGTCCTTAACTTTTGAACTTGTAATTGTAAGTTCAGGATCCATAACGTAGCAGAAACCAAACATTATTTATAACTTTTCACAAAAAAAATAAAAAAAATAAAAATTGCAATTTACGTATAAGATTGATGTCAAATTACACAATCTTTTTGAATCAAGTTGTTTTCTTTATTTGCTTCTTTTATGGTAATTTTGTAGCCTCCTACTTCCTTTTTGGCAACTATGGAGGAATACATACGAGAAGCACCACAGGCAGGTTCCATGTCAAGTAGGAGGCTGGTGAGAACTGGGAAATACCCTGGATATACACTTTTGAGCTATCAACATTCTCTTTTTAGTTTTTTCCTATTTGATCACAGAAACAAACTTAACTAAGATATTTAAAAACTTGTACTAGTATGACTTCCGTAGGTATTGATATTTGAACCTTTTCTCAAATGGTTCAGATCCATTGACAAGGAGTTTAGTAGGTAAAAGTAAAAGAGAGAATCCTACGCTTTTAGGGAACTGAAATTGGGGCCACTTTATAAACCAGTTTCATTTAAGAGAAGCAACCATTTTTAAGACCCCTCCATAGAAATCAACCCTCAAAACTCCTATGTCTGTGATATCACTGTATTTTTGTTTGGGAAGGAAAGGGTAACAACGTCCTTTCATATTAATTTTAATAAACTAGTGGCTATTTTTGCTCAGCACTAAAAATGCTGGATAAAAAGTAAATACGACTTTAAATAGTGACTACCCCATACAATTTTTACAAAAAGATTGTAGACAAATTTCATATATATCTATATATGCAGCGAGGACCCCTAAAATATTTTACGCGGCTCCCTAAAAGCACAAAAACTGGACAGAGGTGCTAGTTTATCGAAGTGCTAAAGTACCTACACTCTTATGATGACCTAGGTTCGAATCTGGGGTCCTACAATTTATATTTTTTATTTTTTTATTTTATTTTTAAAGTGGTGCCCCCGTAATATTCAAATCTTGGGTTTACCTCTGCTTGGAAGTGGACGGGGAGGACAAGGGGCTCATTTTTTGGTCTAGAACAACAGAATCAAGAAGAGAGCAAACACAATTCACTTTGGGGTGAATTTCCTCCTTTGAGTCAATTCCGCCTCCAGCTGAACTGGAGGAAAATTTTAACCGATACGCGGTAGCTTTCCATAAGTTTTCCTCCAGTAATTAAAACTTTTAATAAAGTGAAGAGAACACATCCATCTCATGACTGTAATTATATATATTGCTTTAATCCCTAGAATATTAAAAGCATGAGATAGTTTGGAGGACTCTTGTAAACTTTAACATGTCCTACAAAAGACCAAGATATTAAATTACTTTCTTTTCTTGATTTAATATGAGACATGCCCATTAGAGAATACTTATACGCAATCAATTTAATTATAATTTACATGAAGAAGAATTACAAGTTTTTTATTTTGAAAATGAACAAGAAGATCACTTGGAATCAATAATTTACGATAATGATCAATCATGTTGAAGCAGGATAGATATTTTAGACAGCAGCAATGATGAAATGGTATACGTGAGCTGCTATCATTGGTTAAGGGAAATTGTATGAGCTTTTTATGCAATAATCTAAGGTTGATCACTTAATTGGTTAGTGAGTCAATAATTTTTAGTTATGAAAATTCTGCCTCCAACCATATCTTATATATTGTAGTCTATGTTTCACATTTTATTCATATCATTTCGTGTGGCTATATATATAACTCTATTAGTAACTAACTGCATGCTATTATAGTTTTTAGCAATATTGAACATGACAAGGAGTAATACGTGGGTGTGCTTGTTCAAGAATTTTTTAAAAATTGACCCCTTATTGCTTTTACAAAAAAGGACCACTGAGATAAATGTTGAAGAAGAAAGGTGAGAAGATGTTAGGTACCAATCCTTGACCATTATCTTCCAAAGAGGATTTAACTAATTAGATATTAATTGTTCATATCACGCTTTGATTGAGTAATTTACGGCAGAAAGATAAAATATACATTGTCATTTGTTTGGTCCTCGTAGATCATCAACAGCACCAATAACTAACTTTATTTGACGATTTAACACTTAATTAATATTTTGAGTATGTGTACGGATCATGAGGTATAAAAATGTGAAATATTGCATATTAGGTGCACCTTGGAAAAGGACGGTATAAATATAAAATTATCGAGCATGTTTTTGGGGGAAAAAGAAGAAAAAAAGGAATGAGGAAAAAGAAACAGGGCTGTCTTATACGGCAGAGAAAAAGAAAATAAAGAAACAAAATAGAGGATGTTATGATAAAAATCAAAATATGGTGGATGTCTACTCTTCCTTCATGATCTTTCTCTC